TTACCTTTTCAAAAAAAAAAAAAAAGGTAGATGAACGAACTAATGAGACTTGCCATTTCAGGTGAACTGTCAATGCTCATTTTTAAAGTTTTTGAATTATTGAAAAGGGGAAAACAAGAAAAAGGTAAAAAAGGAAGGAAAGAAGCACGTGTGGGTAACAAGGAAGGGAAGAAGAGGAAGAAAAGTGAAGGTAAGAACCAACAAGGGTTGTGGTGGACTGATAAGTACTCCTCCATCCTTAACCAGAGGTTTCGGGTTCGAGTCCCTGGGTATGGAGTCGGCTTTGTTAGGGAGTGCTTTACCCCCTAATATGGGACTTCCCGATGCGAATCCGGATTTAGTCGGGCTCCAATGTGACTACCGGACACTGTGTGAGAAACCAAAATAAAAAAAGAATTTGAAGGCAAGAAAATAAGAACATTGACGATGTGGAGGGAAGGGGGAGTGGTTGGAGGTGATGGGACAGTTGTGTAAGGGTAGGGAAAGATGATTACCAGAAGGTGGGGTAGAAGACGATAACTTTGCGTAGGTATGAACAAGATAAATGAGGTAAACGGGAAGCAAACCAAACTAAAAGAAGGTGGAGTCTGAAGGGGAATGGTGGCTGCTGCTTTTGGAGGGAGGTGAAGAGGAATGAAGAAAAGGTTGACCCTCACCTTAATTTTAGGCGGGATGATAACAGTAATTTAAGATGTATTACATGTGGGATTCCTAAATTTGATACTAATATCAACCCGTCTAAACAAGATAACTAGGGAATTGAAGAATACTAAGTTTGATAATTGGCTAATTTGACTTTTAATACTGTACCAAATATGGGAATTGGAGGATAAGGAGTCTGTTGGTTGACTGTTTTGACTTTAATCCATATCAAACATCGGTTAAAAGAATTCCAGGGATCTTGAATTGTCAAATACAAAATAAACAGATAAATCAAATCCACAAAAGAAATTGTGCTATTTATCATGTTTGATATATAGTCAAGCCACGGTTGTTCCGATTTTTTTTAGGTTATAGCAATTGGCTAATATACACCTATAACATCATTTGGCATTTAAATCTTATTTGGCTATCACAAAATATATAAAATATCAATTGGATTATCATATTTTAATGTTATAAAGATAAAATAAATTATTTAAATTTAAAATCTCAAAAGATATTCATATTTCACTAATTAAAAGACGGTGAACTCTTACCCAATGGGATACAAATATGTTCATCTTTCAATGGAAAAATCCTTAATGATTGAAGTATGTATTGATGTAATATTCTTTGTCAAAAATGGTGTATTAAAGTTCCAAAATATTTGTTCAAAATCTCTAGACCTTTTATTAGTAATCTGAGAGACTCTAGTTCAATATGTGGTTATGATAGCAAAGCCGCACTAGTGCTTTCTTTATCCTGAAAATAAATGACTAGCAACAGAAGTGGGAAATAGTAAAATCAATCAATATTTGAGTAAGGTTGTTATAGAGGGGTAAGTTTACAAAAAAATTATCGTTATATTGATGGTTGTTGCTATTATAGGGAGAAAGCTGTTGCAGAGAGGTAACATATAACATAAAGAATTGATTTTAAAGAAAATTTGGCTGTTTTAGTGAAATTGTTATAGAGGGTGGATGTTATAGAGAGGTTTGACTGTATCTATTAACAAAGCTATCAAGCTTAATAATTTTCTTGAACTAAGTGAAGGTTTAGGTGCATTTTTTGCTGATTCTAATATGCAAATACGCATTTCCAATAGAAATTTGATCTGTTCACTCATTTAAGTTCTTCGTAAAATATTTAGGAGACTTGTCTATTTCTTAATCAAAGTTTACCAAGAACAATTTTGATCGTAAAGACTTCATGACAAATTGCTTTATTTTTACCGTTCCTTAAGCCGAGAGTCTATCAGAAACAACCTCTCTGCCTTTATAGGGTAGGGGTAAGGCTGCGTACACACTACCCTACCCAGACCCCACGTATGGGGTTAAGCTGGGTTTGTTGTTGTTGTTGTTGTTGTTGTTGTTGTTGTTGTTGTTCATGACAAACTTACCTTTTCTCGGAAAGGAAAAAAAAGACTTCATGAAGAAGCATATTTTCAAAACTTTCCTTCTGATGATAATTTGTATAGAGTTAGATATAGGCAAATATCATTAGCTATTATACATTTGGACCTTCACTTTTATATTGTTCCCCACCTACCAAGAACAACTTTGATCCGAAAAGACTTTATGAAGAAGCATATTTCTTGAACTTTCCGCCTGATGATGATGATTCATATAGGGTTTGATATAGGCAAATACCATAAACAATTACACCTTCACTTTACAAGGAAGGCGATCACCTATGTAGGGCAAGTGAAATTATTTGTACTTATCAACTGCTAGTTAAGAACTATCTGTTTACTCATAGAGAAGAAGAAAAAGAAATCTATCTGTCTACTGATCGTTTGTTGTATATTTAGTCCTTTGCCTTTTTCCTCCCTTAGTTGCTAAGATGCTTTATTCTTCCATTTTCCCTTTCATCCAGGAAGGTTGACATTAACCAACTATGCTCTCTACTTTGAGTCTGGAATGGGCTTATATGATAAAGCAGTGCGGTTTGATCTAGCATCCGACTTGAAGCAGATCATTAAGCCCGAGCTAACTGGACCTTTAGGTGCTCGCCTCTTTGACAAAGCTGTTATGTACAAGTCGTCATCTATGTAAGTTTCATGTTCTCAGTTGAAGCTATGTATCCTAACTCACCAGGGACTAGTAACGTTAAGTTTGTACAGGGTAGATCCTGCATATTTTGAATTTCCGGAATTTAAAGGAAGTTCAAGACGGAACTATTGGTTGGATATCTGTCTTGAAATCTTCCATGCTCACAAATTTACTCGGAAGTATAATATCAAAGAGGGTCAGCAGTTTGAAGCACTCGCTAGGGCTGTTCTTGGAATTTACCGATACAGGGCAGTAAGAGAGGCTTTTAAGGTATCTTCTTCCAACTATAAAACCCTACTGTGTTTTAACTTGGCAGAAAGTCTTCCTAGAGGAGATGCGATCTTGGAAACTTTATCAAGTCGCTTGACACTCATGAAATCTGCCAGCAATCATCGTGGGTTATTGGGTTCTCCTAGTGCAAGGAGACAGGTGATACACCCAGTATCACGGGTGTCACTTTGTAGACTTGGTATTATCTCATGCAAGGAGGTTGACATAATTGGAGAAGCAACAAATTTGGTTGGAGATGTCTGTGTTGGTGAGATAAATCCTCTGGAAAATGCTGTCAAGCAGTCAATGAAGAACATTGGAAGGGCTGAAGCTGCACAGGCAACAGTTGACCAAGTCAAAGTTGAAGGAATTGATACTAATTTAGCTGTAATGAAGGTGTGCAGTGAACTCCTTTGTCTTTCTCTTTTTGCTTAACGTATCGTTCCTGTGATTCTGGAGATTGCTTTACTTGTTCTGTTCATGATAGTTGATCCCTGCTAAGGACAGTTCCTCGAACAGGAATGCTGCCTTAAATTGTGAGTTACTTCAGTCGATCCTATGGTTAAAAATGGTGCAAATCTGAAAAGCTGCAGTTCTTTTTTTTCTAGGGAATTAAGAACGTAGCTTGATTGTTGTTCAGCAGCTCATATGTCTCTTGTTTTTAGAGTAGTTAGCAGCTCCACTAATTTGTGGCACCCTTTGGTTGGCTTTGATTATTGTTGTAAAATTAGAACTGAGGAGTACCTGCACCTCATCTTTGAAAGTATCACTTCAATGAGGATACTTTGTTGGCTTTGCTTCTTGTTCTTAAAATTTGAAACGAGTTCCTGCACCTCATCTTTGAAGTGTATCACTTCATAAACGGGATACTTGACTTGTGATGCATTATTGCTGCTTAGAAACTTACTAGTCGTAGAACTTCTAGTACATAATGTTTCCTCGTTCCTCAAGATCACCTTTTTTTTTCTTCACAGGAGCTGCTTTTCCCTGTCTTCAAATCAATTAACCACCTTCAACAATTAGCTTCGTGGAAAAATCCATGGAAGTCGATGTTATTTATGGTGCTTATAAGCTATGTTATAATCAGGTATCTAAGACTTATCTTTTCCTTTATCTTATGTGCGGGCCAGAACTCGTGTCCAGATTTCTCCTTATTGGATGTGCATTGTCATCCCTTCCCATTCCTCGTTACCTTCTCATAGAAATTAGTTGCAACTCTTTATAGAATTCCAAATAAATCACAATAATGCTCCGTAATGGAGGAGACAATGCTGTAAATTTACATAGTTCTTGTATTGTTTCAAATTTTAAAAAGAGTTACAACAACAGCAACAACAACAACGAGCCAGTAGAATCCCACTTGTGGGGTCTGGGGAGGTTATTGTGTACGCAAACCTTACCCCTACCCCGAAGTAGAGAGGCTGTTTCCAAAAGACCCTCGGCTCAAGAAGACGAAAAGAGACAATATCAGTACCACCAATAGAAAACATAGGAAAAATAACATCATGAAAATGAGAAAGTAGATGCAAAGGAAAAACGATAGACAGACATAGACCGGGCGCTATGGAAAAACGAAATAGTAGTAAGACACAACATTGCCACTATCTGACTTCGACAGAAATCCTACTAGACTAGCCTCACAAAGGGACAAAGTAAGGAAAGATTCAACTATCTCCTAACCTACAACCCTAATACTTGACCTTCACAGTTTCCGATCCAGGGCCATGTCCTCGGAAATCTGAAGCCTCGCAATGTCCTGCCTGATTACTAAAAAGAGTTACAACAAGCCTGTAAATTGATTTTTGCAACATGAGTGCTTTTACAAGAAGCCACATTGCTCTCCCTTTCTTTAAGAAGCCATATTGCTCTTATACGCCCATAAAGTCCCTTCCTTTCTCACCTTTTCATAAAGTCTAGTAATCTCTCATTATATGAGTCAGCCAGTTAGACGTACATCTACATAATTCAAAAGAAATGAGCGTTGAAGATGAAACATTCAATTGGCTACTGACTTATAAAAACAATCAGTTAGCTTGTGAATATCTAAAGTAGGAGGAAATACATCTTTGGGGTACATAGAGCACCAGGGGTCGTGTAGCCCATAATGGGATAGTCTAGATTAACTATCCTTCCCGACTGGCAGTGTTGAGGGGTTAATGAATGAGCTCGCTACACTTTTATATGTGTTTGGTATATATAACACTACGCGTGTGATATCCTTATATATATCTAGTCTACATCTCTTTCAACCTGAATAAAAAATTTAATTCACAAGTGTAGCCACTGAAGCAATTGTTCTAATGTGTAAAGAAATTGCCAAAAATTCATATTTTCACCAATAAGATTTTCTCTAGAACAACAACAATAAACCCAGTATAATCCACATTAGTGTTGTCAAAAGCGCAAAAAGGCGCTAAAGCCCTGTTGGAGCTTAAAGCGCAAAGTGCACTTAAAGTGTGGGCTTCACTGAAAAAAAGCGCACTATGAAGTTTTATATATATATATATATATATATATATATATATCTAATATTTAGAGAACATAATAGACACATAAATAATAAATATATATTGCTTATAATGAGGTAAAACTTCATCAAATCATCAACTTAAGTCTTAATAAGGAAATATAAACTCATTCTAGATTCCACTTCTAATCACTAAAATAATATTCCTCCATATAATCTTCCTCAATAGGGTGATTCTCATTGGTGTCACTAGAACTATAGCCACCAATCTCCTCTTCCGAATCAGAATCAATGTCATCTTCTATGTCAACAGACTCAATACGTGGAGCTCGGGAGCTTGAGGCATTGGTTGCAATAACTCCTGACTGTCTCTTTTGTCGCCTTGTGTATGTCAACACGTCCTCACTACCCGACGCTCTTGCAACATACCCAAAGTCAAGCTATCACCACCAAACACCAACTCATCTTCTGCTTCCGCATTAACACCCATCTTCCCAATCAGCCACTCATTACTATGATCGATGTTATCCAATGAGATTGGATCAATAACTCTCCGCAAGTCATAACGGGCTTTTAAAGCACAATTATACTTGACATACACTAGGTCATTCAATCTTTGATGCTCCAATCTGTTTCTTTTTTTTTGGTATGGATCTGTTGCATGGAATATCTTAATATTAGTGATATAGTCTAATTGATTAACTAAGCAAAGAAAATAAATAAAAAGTATACATTACGAGTACTTACATGCTCAAATACGCTCCAATTACGCTCACACCCAGCAACACTAGCCGTTAAACCCAAAATTCTAATGGCTAATTTTTGGAGATGAGGAGCTGAATTACCATATAAATTCCACCATTCAACTGTAAAAAGTGTTATGTTGACCATCATTATTTCTAAGTTAATGTAACTATGTAAGTATTAAGTAAAATTTTAAACATAAACTAATAATTGTGAATTTAAAGGTTAATATTTCAGTTACCAGGAGATCTTGTCGTTCTAGATCTTTTTGCAATCGGAAGACCAAATTGTTGTTCAGCTTTAGTGTACAGTGGTATCTCTGATATAATCTTGTCTTGTACTGCAGTCCTTGGAATCAATTTTTCAATACAAGCATACAACCCATCTGTTACTTCTCTACAATTTTCAATAGCTGAATTTTGATAGAAGTACTCTGGATTTAGATAATGTCCAGCTGCATGTAATGGATGATGCAATTGGCATTGCCATCTTTCATCAATAATCTTAAAAATATCTTTGTACTTAGCAATATTCCCGTCAAATACCTTTGCAATAGCCTCCTTAGCTCTATCCATGGCTTCATAAATGTACCCCATTGCAGGTTTTTTTTCATTATCAGCTAATCACAACACTTTAACAAGAGACGCCATTATTTTTAAAATATACACAACCTGGTTCCAGAATGTTGTCATCAAGACGGTATGAGCTACACTTTTTCCCTTTGGTAACTTAGACCATCTATTAATCACCCATTTATCAGATTTAAACATTGCTCATAAATTAGTTTTTTGACAATGCAATCGTTGCAAAGTCAGAAAACTCGTCGCAAATCGAGTAATCCCACATTTCACCAACTCTTTATTTTTTGTGAAATCTCTCATCATATTTAAGACTCCTGAGTGCCCATAAATGAAACCGACAAGGGCAATTGCTCTTTGAAGGGCCTTCTTAATGTTTGGAATCTTCCCTATGGCTTCCAACATAAGATCTATACAGTAGGCTGCACATGGCGTCCAGTATATGTGTCTTCTTTTTTTCTGTAAGATTTGACCTATAGAAAAAAAGTAAATAGATATGCTAAAATTTAGAAATCAGCTATAGAAAAAAAAAGTTGATAGATATGTCAAAATTTAGGAATCAGAACTTTGAATCGATATTAGAAAGTAAAACATAAAACTTAAACATTTAAAGCAATAAATTCTTACCAGCCAACACAAAGTTGCTACCATTATCACTTATAACTTGAACCACATTATGCTCTCCAACACGCTCCACGTATCTATCAAGCAATTCACATAGTTTCTCTCCGGTCTTAACAAATGAGGAAGCATCTATCGACTCCATAAACACTGTTCCATGCGGAGAATTCACCAAAAAATTTATCAAAGTTCTTTGTTTTCTATCTGACCATCCATCCTCCATAATGGAACATCCATACTTCAACCACTCCTCTATGTTTGTTTATAATCTCATTGGTTAACTCAACCTCCTTCCTAAGTAACGGAACCCTTAATTCGTGGTAGCTTGGAGGCTTCAAGTTTGGACCATACCTTCCTATAACCTCAACTGCTTCCTTAAAACTTTTTGAGCGAACAACATTGAATGGGATCCCATTATCGTAAAAGAAGCGAACAACTTTTTGAATTGTCATGACTCTTGCTTCTTTATCACATGAATCTTTGATATTTGTTTGCCTAAGTGTTCCTTGCTTTTGTAGAAACACATCCATAGGTCCCTTTCCTTTGGCCAATTTCTTACTAGAGCCACTAGGAAAGCTTCCTCCACCTCTTTTCTTATGAATGATCTCGTGGACTTCATCTTCTCCACCAACATCGTCTTGATAATCAAACTCATCAAGTCTAGAAAATTCGTTAGTATAGACTTCCTTTCTTATTTTTTTCTCCTCCATGTAATTTTTCAATTCCTCTCTAACCTCCTGTGGGCATACTGCACACTTTGCTGCATTCCTAAAGTTCCCAATCAAATGTTGTTTTGCCCGATTAATTCCACCGGTGGTTGTTTTTCCACAAAATTGCATGTGACTCTTGTAGTGTCATTAGGATCCTTCAAATGATTATATTTCCAGCCAGGATCCCTTCGATTGCCTTTGGACAGGTCCTCTGCCATTTTTAATTTTGAAAAAAAAAATATATAATGCGTCTTGCAAGCAATTATAATTTGTAAATAGTGATACATAACAAGAACATAAAGCTGGACAGTCCTCTGTCATTTATAATTCTGAAAACTTATTAAAAAGTAATATGTAATGCATTTTGCATGCAATTATAATTTTTAAATAATAATATACAACAAAATATATAAGGTAGGTAGAACCTCTGCCGTTTAATTCTGAAATAAAATAAATTAATATTATGACATTTTGCATGCAATTATAATTGTTAAATAATGATATACAACAAGAATATAAAGGGGAACACTACTGGGGTCCACCACTATGCCATGACTTCTAAGAAAGTGTGGAGTCCATTATTTGTGTCTTTATCCTCTCTTAGTCTCTTTACAGGTGTTGCATATATAGTGATAGTTATAAAAGTTTGACAACATGAATCATCAAACAAGGACAAGTGTCCCTTTTAATTCTACAAAATTTTCTACAAACGCAAAAGGACTAAGTATAAAATTTCAGCACCAAACCCATTTATTTTCTAACTTTACTAGTTTATTCACTTTACCCAAAAGGAAAAATAGCAAAAAATTTAATCACAAGAAAAAAGTTAACTCAGTCAAATACTCATATTTTAATGGAGAATTCTTTTGTTTGTATCTCTTATTACAAAGAAAGAATAAAAGAAGAAAAAAATGAGTAGAAGAGAGAGAGGCGTACAAAAAGTATTAAGAGATAAATAAACGGAGAA